GCGAGATTCGTGCGCGGGGTTTACTTCGAGAGCATCATCTGGGTGAGGCGGAGGGAGAACGAGTCAGAAACAGGGTCAGACGGGCACAACAAAACGGGTGCGCTTACTTTGACGAACTCTGGGGAGGGAAAGAAGGGCGGAAGTGTCAGTGACGGTTGGTTGGAAGGAGCGCGAGCGACTGACCCTCGTAGTTGATCTGACCGTCGCCGTCGACGTCCGCCTCGCGGATCATCTCGTCGACCTCCGTGTCCGACAACTTCTCGCCTGCCCAACGTTACACCCTCGTCAGCCTTCCCCTTCGAACCAAAGAAAAGGTGCACCGCCAAAAAAACCCACCTAGGTTCGTCATGACGTGCCTCAGCTCCGCCGCGGAGATGTACCCGTTCCCGTCCTTGTCGAACACCTTGAACGCCTCCTTGATCTCGTCCTCCGAGTCGGTGTCCCGCATCTTGCGCGCCATCATCGTGAGGAACTCGGGGAAGTCGATCGTGCCGTTCCCGTCCGCGTCCACCTCGTTGATCATGTCCTGCAGCTCCGCCTCGGTCGGGTTCTGCCCCAGCGAGCGCATCACCGTTCCGAGCTCCTTCGTCGTGATCGTGCCGTCACCATCTGCGGACGCCGAACGCCGACGATGGGGGCAAAGCGGGGAGGGAGACGGAGGCGGCCAGTCGGGAGGCCGTTTGAGAGATGGGAGGAGTCGATCGCGACGGCCGATGGGCAAAGGGCACCCAAACCAAAAATAAACCCCCCAAAAATAAAGTTAAAATAAAATAAACCAGACGGCGTCAACAAGCCTTGTCGACCCGACGATGCGAAACAGATCAACCGCACCCTTGTCGAACAGGGAGAACGCCTCCTTGAACTCTGCACGATCGCGAAGGAAAAGGAAAATCGAGGACGAGGCGTCAGTCACTCAGTACCGGCCGCGCGCGCGCTGCGAGGGGATAAGGACGCACCGGAGATCTGCTCTGATAGCCCGCGCGCGCCCTGGGTCAGTCGCCGCGCTCCAACCGACGCACTCGCGCAATCGCGAACGCACCTTCACTCTGCGACACGGGGTCAGAGGTAAGCACACGCTCGAAGGACGAGGACGAAGGGGGGGGAGAGACGCGGGGTGGAAACGCACCAATTGATCGGCCATAGCGTCGTATCTTGCACTTGCGGTTGGGGTTGGGGAAGAGCCGTCAGAAAATCCTGTCCGAATTCGCGCCGCCAGCGCACCCGTCAGCGGTCCCCTTCGTGTCCCATCGTCGCAGCGCTGAACGGGCGAAAGCGCACTCACGGGTGGGTGGTGGTTTGGATGGAGATGGGGGGGAGAAGGAGACAGCAACCGCGCTGATATTCGCGCCTGTGGTCCTAGTTCGGCAATCGCCGCACTAACCCAACTTATTATTATTACATCGTCCTTCCCCTGCGCGCACCGTCGCCTGCGACATGCGCCCAGGCAGGGTACTCATCACCCGTAACTTACATATAACTTATCGCATTGCATTACGTGAAAAAGTACTTTGTCGTGAAAAAATGGCCAAGCAAAAGGCAGAAAAAAGAAGAAGAAAAGGAGAGAGAAGATCGGCATCCATCCAACACCCAGTCGACCCCGCACCGAAACGACGGAACTCAATCCCAATCATCCTCCTCGTCCTCCTCATCGCTGTCCCCCAACTTCTTATTCCTCTCCAACAGCGCGGCCGCAAGCGCAGCCGTCAAATCCCCGCCACCGCCACCACCGCCCGAACTGCTCTCCTCGACCGCAGCGGGCGCGGGCGGCGGGGGCGTGGAGCGCGAGGGCGGGGACGAGCCCTCGGTCTTGCGTAGAGAGTGGATGCCTTTGCCTTGGATGGACGCGAGGAGGTCCGAGCGGCCAGGCGCTGGTGCGGGAAGTGCAGGTCCGCCTCCGCCTCCGCCTGCAGGTGGCGGGGGCGGTGGAGGTGGTGGAGGCGCGCCTCCCGCAGGGGGTGGCGGAGGAGGGGGTGGGGGTGGTGGAGCAACCCCTCCTGCTGGTGGCGGGGGAGGAGGAGGAGGAGGAGGAGGAGGAGGAGGAGGTGCGGGAGGCGCAACTGCACCTCGACTGGGGGGTGCGGGAGGTGGAGGCGGCGCGCTGTTGCTTGGGGGTGGGCGCGAGGGCGGTGGAGGTGGAGCCGCGGGAGGCGCTGGTTGGCGGGAAGGCGGAGGAGGCGCTCTGGGTGGGGGAGTGCTCCGGGCGAGCGGGGGCGCCGTGGGGGGTGGGGGCGGTGCCGCGGGGGGTGGTGCCGACCTTGGAGGAGGAGCACGCGGGGGCGGGGGAGCCGGAGGTGTAGACGTAGGCGTTGGTGGGGCGGCGGACGACGTGGAGTCTGACGCGCCGTGCCGGCGAGGCGCGGGCGGCGGAGGCGGGCCCTTCTTCTTCGGCGGGGGGGCGGCGGGCGGATTCTTCTGGGCGTCGCGCACGAACTCCTTGATGAAATCCATGTTGTCCGCGATCAAGCTCGAGTCGACGCCGTGCGCCTGGAGGTCGCCGAGGAAGGCGGTCCAGGACGGGTCCACGCCCGAGGAGACGAAGCCGCGCTCGGCGTCGTAGCCCATGTGCGCGACGTGCTTGAAGGAGCCCGAGGTGGGGCCGGAGATGAGGGACTTGTCGATCTTGCTCAGGCGGGAGGATTTGGATTTGGAGCGCGAGGGCGTGGGGGCGGAGAGGGTCGAGCTTGTTTTGGATTTCGCTGGGGAGAGCCGTTAGTGTTTGGTACGTGCGCGTGTAGGCGAGAAGACCGAGGATGGGTAGGTACATCAGACGTCGTAGCGCACGCGGCTAGGGCCACAGTGCGACAACGCCGTTGAAGGAAGGCGTGAGAGGCGCGGTTTCCTCGTTACGGGTGATTATCGGATAGCAAGAGCAACCCGTCGAAGACGAGTAAGACGGCGGCGGGCCCGCGCGGGGGTCCGCAGCGTGGAAGATCAAGAAACGAGGGCTCACCTTTCGTCTCCTTCCTCTGCGTCACTTTCTTGAGCATAATCTTCGCCTCGTTCTCTTCCGCGAACACCAGCCCAATCATGCATTCCTAACCAAAAACAAACAATCGTGAGCGGTCAGCCCAACCCGACAGTTCACGCACGATGGGCACTCACGTCTCCCGCAAAGGTATGAAAGTACGGCCTGTCCGAGAAGTACTCGAAATCGTCGTAGAGCTCGTGCTCCCAGATGACGCCGCGCGTGCCGACGAGGTCGACCATCCGGAACACGAACGCGTTCCGCGTTTTGTCGTGCACGAACGCGAGCGTGCCTTGCAGACCGCCGTACGCCCATTTTTCGGGGTCCGGGTGTGCGAAGTAAACGCGGGCGAGACAGGCGGTGTGGATCTTGTTGCTAGCGGTGCCGATGGCGGACTTGATCTTTCCCTTGTCGTCCGAGCTGAGGGTCGATTGGGACGGCATGGCGGCGGGGGTCCCTGCGGGGTATCGCGAAGCAGAGAGTCGGACCGCAAAGTCGAGGGGATGTGCGAGCGAGGTGCGAGTGCGAGTGCGATGAGGCGAAAGGCGGAGAACGTGGAGGACAGCCAGGTGGAAGCCGCAGCGGTGGGCGGTGGCCCGTTCGGGAATTCCCGTATTCAGTCATTCGCCACGTGATGGGAAGCTGGCGCAGTCGAGGGACTGACGTCACGCGTCCTCAATCTGGCTTGGTCGTACCGCCCTTTGGAGTCACCTCAAACGCGCAGCCCCGCACTCGTCATCCCCCT